CAGTACGTTTTTACAGTAAATTAATATTAAATTAATATTAAATTAATATTAAATTAATATTAAATATATATAGATATTAGATTGAGAGATAAAAAGTTTGAGAAATTTGGATATAAATGAAAAGAAAAAGTACCTTAAATTATATGTAGTATTATCGTCCAATGGTGTAACAGGTGTATGATATGATGGAATTTGATTCCAAGTTTTAGGTACACGATCGGCTTGTTCAACCGGTTGATAACTCAAGCTCATGGTTGTTTCTGATTCCATTGGTAAATTCGGTCTTTGATATTGACGATACGGTGCATAAGAATTGTTACGTAATAATGTGGTACAATCGTTCGGTATGTATGATAATTTATGCGTGGTACAACCTATATATTAGTAAAAGTTCAAACTAATGTCAATATAAAACTTTAATTTTCTTTACGTTGTATGAATAATTGAATTCTTTTATTTATGCTAACATTCCAATGGAATTGGGGCACACGTGAGATTATTTTCCGGTTTTATTACATCCAATGGTGTAGAATAACGCCAAGTGTAATCATGTTTCTGCGTTGTTTCATCTTGCATTGGTCCTTTACCTAACAATTGTCTGTCACATGGTGTTATTGATTTTTCCGGTTTTACTGACCAATTTCCTAAAAAACTCAACTACATTTGGAATATGTTAATAATTCATTTTTATTATTATAACGTATAATTAAAGATTAACACGATACATTACTAACTTTGTTTATTGTATCGTGTGAAAGTGGGCAAGATGATAGACAAATGTTTTCCTGCGGTTTAATTGCATCACTTTTATCACCTCCGCAATTAAAATAACTCAATTGATAAATCGTGTCATCGTTGAAGCAACAATCTGCGTACGTTATGGGTGTTATAATCAAATATTTGTGATTTCATTTGATTGTATTATTAAAATGAATAATTAAATATTTTATTTTATTTATTTGTTGTTTTTTTTTTTTTTTTTAAATTATTTATTAATTAACCTGCATTGAGAATGTTTTCCGTATCCTGTATTGTAAAAGGTGATCGACGTTTTTCACAATGTGGCCAATAACTTAATTTATATGTCGTACAATTTTCCATAGGATCGATTGGCCTATGGTATTCTAACTTTTTTTGCAATGATCGATCATTCTGTAATATCAATGCTTTTATAAATAATACACAATAATATAAGGAATATAAATATTATATATTATAATTAAATAAAGTTACCTTAATTGGTGTTACGGTTGGCCAATAACTCAATTTGTATGTCGTACAACCATCCATTGGTATTAACGGTTTGCAATAATTTCTTTTAGTTGTATAAGATTTCGTAGGTAAATTACAATTAACCGGGAAATAACTTAATCGATATGTCGTGTCATCTTGTATATTATATTATTATTATTATCAAGAAAAACAAAAAAAAAAAAAAAAACAATTATATTTAATTAGACACACAAAAACATATTATTATTATTATTATTATCATGATTGAGAAATATCCTATATTATTATTATTATTTAATTAGTTATTTCTCTCGTCCAAAATTATAATTCTTAATACGGAATCACAAGTTAGTTAAATTAAGTTCTATTTCTTTTTATGTCCAAGTTCCCTGTGATTCCGTATTAAGAATTATTATTATTAAATTTGAATTATTATTATTAAATATAAACTAACCGGATAATGAAGCACAAGGAAGATACAAATTGTCCCTTGCTTTGAATGATTCAGATTGTTTCATAGATTTCCATTGATAATCGTGTTTTTGTGTAGTCTCATCTTGCATTGGTCCTCTACCGAGCCATTGTTTATCGCATGGTGTTATAGATGGTTCCGTTTTTATGCACCAATTACCCAAGTAACTCAACTAACGCGTATCAACACGTATATATATATATATTTGTGTGTGTGTGAATAATTAACGTATCAAATATTTGTGTATATTTTTATGTGTGATCGTTCATTATGTTTATTTTTTGTTCGTTTGAATTATATAATTAATTAATTAATTAATTAATTATTAAAGAAAAATATTAATAACTTTGTGAATTGTTTCATCGGTTATACGACCGTCACCGAGTGTCAACCAATCTTTAGGTTTTATTGGTTCAATTATTGGACGTGGCCCATCCCAATACGAGTATCGATACGTTGTAGAATCTTCTATTGGTAAATCCGATTTCATATAATACTATATGTAAAAATATGATCAATTATTTTTTTAATATATGTGTGTATGTGTGTGTATTTTTCTTTTTTTTTTTCTTTTCTTGGGGTAGAAATCAAAGGATTTATTTTTTTTGCTGGTTTACTTACTCGAATTGGTCGGAAAGATTTCGGTACTTCCGGTTGAACATATTTCTATAATAAATATATAATATTCAATTAATTACTCGCTTTTTTGTGTTCGTAAATTAATTTCTTTTTTTTTTTATCTAATTATTTTCAACTAAAGTTTAACGTGTTTTAAGTAACGTTGAAATTTATGTGCAATTTATTGTCTGTTAAATTACGTGATAATTCAATTCAATATGTTTTTCTCAATAATGTTTCATTAATTTAATATAAAATCTAAAACATTTCTATATAATTTATTGATATTATTTTTTTTATATAATTTTATATTGTTTAATGTGTTAACATATGTATTGTATATGATAATGATGATTTCAACATATGTTGTATATGGTAATAGTAATTTATGATAATGTAGAATGATGTTAACATATATGTATATATAGTAATAGTAATTTATGATAATGTAAAAAAATCTTGTACGATTAATTAATAACGATAATATGAATTGTACTCACAAATGCAGTGGGTTGTGGTATGCAACAGCAACAACAATTGCAACATTCATCGTGATCCAGCTAAGAATAGATTATATCATATTAGAATGATGATTATGATGATGATGATGATGATGATGATGATGATGATGAGATCGAGAATAAATTAAAAATTATTTAAACTTTTTTCTTTTTTTTTATTACTCACCCGAATTTTATTTTTTGCTTCTATGATCGAAACCGGACGCGTTTCTTTAGGTCTGTGATAAAAGTATACAATATTTATGTTTTATTGTTTTTTATTATTATTATTAATATTATTATTATTCTTTTAAACAATTTCGTTAATGTTTTACATGTTAATATCTGTATATTGAGAAAAAAAAAAATATACAAAAATTGTGTGTCTGTCACATAGAAAACGTTTTTTTTTTACTTCTAATTTTTAATTTGTTACTATAATGGCTCACGGTTCGGGAGGACAAATCTCCATTATTTCTCTTTTATTGATTTAAACAATTAAACTAACTAACAAAAAAAGAAATAACTTCTTTCGTTCTTTATTTTATTGCGAGGTTACACATACGGAATTTAAAAGACCCGTGTTTACGATATACTTGATATACTTTTCAAATGATTATTATTCTGAATTATGCAACGTTTCTAATTTAATTTTGACAATGTTTGTTTGTTTGTTTATTTGTTTATTTTCTTTTTCTTGTCAAATTATCTCAAACGTAGAGTGCGTTGAATAAAATATGTTGTAATAGAAAAATAGAAAACAAAAAAAGACAAAATAAAATACATTACCTGGACAAAAATTGTATTCAATTAATTATTTATTAAGGATAGAGAGAAATAATATAATACAATGCAATTTAATTTCAATCACGTTTTTAATATTTTACCTTTTTAATACGACGAGTATATATAAAAACACAGATCCACACTGTGTTATGTGACTTTTTTTTATTTTATTAATAATAAAATAAAATTGTATATTATACATCTTTTCTTTTTAATGTCTCGCGTGTCGAAATATATAT